GTCTTTGTGGATTTAGAGAAAGCGTACGACAGAGTGCTGAGAGAGGAGCTATGGTACTGTATGAGGATGTCAGGAGTGGCAGAGATGTCAGAGGAGTTGAGGATATGTATGAGAGGAGTACGACAGTAGTGAGATGTGCTGTAGGTCAGACAGAGGAGTTCAAGGTGGAGGTGGGGCTACATCAAGGATCGGCTTTGAGTCCCTTCTTGTTTGCTATGGTGATGGACAGGTTGACAGATGAGGTCAGACAGGAATCTCCGTGGACAATGATGTTTGCGGATGACATTGTGATCTGTAGTGAGAGCAGAGAACAGGTGAAGGAACACTTGGAAAGGTGGAGGTCTGCTCTGGAAAGAAGACAAATGAAAGTCAGTTCTGGTAAGACAGAAAACGTGTATGAACAAGAGGGAGGGATGTGGAACAGTGAGGTTACAGGGGGCTGAGGTCAAGAAGGTGCAGGAGTTTAAGTATTTGGGATCAACAGTCCAGTGTGATGGGGAGCGTGGAAAAGAGGTGAAGAGGTGAGTGCAGGTGGGTTGGAGTGGGTGGAGAAAGGTGTCAGGAGTGTTGTGTGACAGAAGAGTGCCAGCAAGAATCAAAGGAAAGGTGACAAGACAGTAGTGAGACCAGTTATGCTGTATGGGTTAGAGACTGTAGCAGTGAGGAAAAGACAAGAAGCAGAGATGGAGGTAGCAGAGATGAGGATGTTGAGGTTCTTTTTAGGACTGACCAGGATGGACAGGTATAGGAACGAGCACATCAGGTTGGTTGTTTTGGAGATGAGGTCAGAGAGGCCAGATTGAGATGGTTTGGACATGTGCAGAGGAGGGATAGTGGTTATATTGGTAGAAGGATGTTGGAGATGGAGCTGCCAGGGAAGAGGTCAAGAGGAAGGCCAAAGAGGAGATATAAAAAGAAAGTCACTTTCGGCTTTTCTCGTTTGGGGGTCACAACAGCGAATCCTCACACTGACGACTCGCATGTTGACATTTGGCACGTGTTTTACGCCGGATGCCCTTCCTCACGCAACCCTGATTCGAACCCGGGCCGCAGTGGCGAGAGCGCCACACGCCTTAACCAGTAGCCTACCAGGGACCATGCCAAAGAGGAGATATATGGATATGCTAAAAGAGAACATGAAGTTAATTGGGGTGAGAATAGAGCATGCCGACGATAGTTAGGTGGAAACACATGATTCGCAGTGACAACCTTCTAAAGTAGAAAGACGACGACTCTATCATAATGTACATTTCAGCTAACTGGTAGCTAGTGGAGGTAGAAAGGCTTTCCCTGGAGTTATAATCTGAGCTACTATGGGGTTATTGGTAACTTCATGTCAGTCAAAAGCATCTTGCAAACATATGGCCTCTCACCTGTGTGGGTTCGTAAATGAACATCCAAATGTGATGACAGTTTGAATCCTTTCCCACACGTCTTGCAAATATATGGCCTCTCCCCAGTGTGGGTTCGTAAATGAACATCTAAACGTGATGATTGTTTGAATCCTTTCCCACATGTCTTGCAAACATATGGCCTCTCACCTGTGTGGGTTCGTAAATGAACATCCAAATGTGATGACAGTTTGAATCCTTTCCCACATGTCTTGCAAACATGTGGCCTCTCACCTGTGTGGGTTCGTAAATGAGCATCCAAATGTGATGACTGAATGAATCCTTTCCCACATGTCTTGCAAAAATATGGCCTCTCACCTGTGTGGGTTCGTAAATGAGCATCCAAATTTGAGGACGTCGTGAATCCTTTCCCACAGGTCTTGCAAACATACGGCCTCTCACCTGTGTGGGTTCTCATGTGGATCGACAAGTCCTGCCGTTGCCTGCAACACTTCCCACATCTTTTACAAGAATACAGCTTCTCCCCTGTGTGGATTTTTAAATGAACATTCAAAGCTGATGACTGTTTGAATCCTTTCCCACAGGTCTTGCAAACATATGGCCTCTCACCTGTGTGGATTCTCATGTGGACCAAAAGCTCACTCTTACATCTGAAAATTTTCTTACATGTTTCACAACACTTTAAAGACTTTCTATCTGTGCAATGATCAGAGTGAGTCTCTGACAGAGGAGAGTTGTCTGCACTGTTACTGTGACTTGTGTCTTTGTGACGTCTCCTCTTTGGCTTTGGCTCTGCATTCCTAACTGATCCCGAGTCTCCTTGCTGGCTTCCTTCCTGATCCTGGCTCTCAGCTACAGCAAAGCTGTGAGAGAGGAGCTGCTGGTCATTGGTTGGTTCTGCTTCACTGTGGTAAGTAGGAGTCAACATAAAGGGATCGGTCTCCTGCTTCAGTCCAAGCTGCTCTCCCTCCTGACTGCTACAGAGTTCCTCCTGTTCCTCTGTAACCTGTGGAGTCTCTGGGTCCTCTTGGTCCAAACTGGAGTTCCTCTCCTGGTTCCAGAGCTGCTGGTCAGCCAGAACCTCCTCCTCCTTACAGACATGTTGCTGTGGCAGCTCTGGAGGGACAAAGGAAGTAACAGGTCACTGATGTGATGAGGAAAAAAACAAAAGTAATGTTTCTTATTCACCTGCTTCATGGTGGAATTTTTACAGTCTATCTTAAAAGTTTCTGTAGAGGACATTGTTCATGTTGTCATTTTCAAGCTGTTTCAAGGTAATAAATTCAATTAACAGCAACTTCCTCTTTAGACTTCAGAATGAAAGTAGGTTTTGTAATTAATTTATATATTAAAAGATTGATGCTGTAACTTCAAATCGGTCACAGTAGCATGTTCAGAAGGTTATCCCAAAAAATGCAAGAGGGGAAAAACTGAAGAATTTCACAATTAAAGCCCTCTAAATGCCACATAAACAATATATTAATTGTTCAAATAGTTCTAACAGGTAGTTTTTTTCTGATAAAGTTCACCCCATATCGTATATAATGTGAAAATATTAGTCTGTGAAAACAGAACGTCTCATTTTAGTATCAATCTGAGTTTATAGTTAACATAGCATTTATATGACATTTGAGGGGGGCTTAAATTTGAAATTCTGCATCAAATTGTCCTGATAATTTTGTCTGAGTCAAGCTCTGAGGTGGCCTGCTATGATTCTCATGTGAAATAGTCAGAATCAGAATCAGCTTTATTGGCCAGGTGTGACAGACACACGAGGAATTTGACTCAGGTACATCAGCTCTCACTGTGCAAAACTGTAACCAGCATAAGGCTGGGTAATATAACAAAATAGTAGTCAACAAACAGTGCAAACAATGCAGAAAAAGCAGTATAAACAGACAGTAAACAATGCAGACAATGAAGGAATGTTCATCGAAATGTGATAAATAGGGATAAAAACAAAGTACTTAAAGCTAGAGACCTCTATGACTCAGTATTATCTGTACAATGTATATACATACACACACACACACACACACACACACAGGTATTGCACTGAGGGTTATTGTCTAATCATACTGTCGTGGGTCAAGTGTTCATCACAGTGATGGCCCGGGGGAAGAACCTGTCCCTGTGCTTGGTTGTCTTAATGCACAGTGACCTGTAACGCCGTCCAGAGGGGAGGAGTTCAAACAGATTGTATCCGGGGTGTGAGGGGTCTGCAGTGATCTTCTCTGCCCTCCTTGTGACCCGTGTGGTGTACAGGTCCTCCATGGAGGGTAGGCTCACACCAATGACCTTTTATGTAGTCCTCACTGTCCACTGAAGTTTGTGCTTGTCCTGTTTGGTTGCTGAGCCAAACCAGACAGTGATGGAGGTGCAGAGAACAGACTCAATGATTCCTCTGTAGAACTGTATCAGCAGCTCCTGGGGCAGGTCGAACTTCCTGAGCTGGCGCAGGAAGTACATCCTCTGCTGTGCCTTCTTGATGATGGTC